CTGGGTCTTAGTTGTGGCACTCAGGACATTCAGTCTTCACAGAGGTATGCATAATCCTCTAGTCACAGCATGTGGAATATAGTTCTCCAACCAGGGACTGAACCTGGGCCACCTGCACTGGAAGCTCAGAGTCTTAGTCACAGGACCACCAGGGAAATCATTTTTAGATTTCCTTTCCATTTAGTTCTCTACAGAGCATTGAAATAGAGTTCCCTGTGCTATACATTAGTTATAGTTCTCATTAGTTATCTAGTTTATATATAATGTTGTGTATATGGGGCTTCCCTGGTGGCTCAGTGGTAAAAAATCTGCCTGCAATGTAGAAGACCTGGTTTTGATCCCTGGGTAGAGAGGATGCCCTAGAGGTGGGCATGGCAACCCACTCCAGTATTCTTGCCTAGAGAATCCCATGGACAGAGGAGCCTGGCAGGCTACAGTCCATGGACTCGCAGTGTCAATCTCAGTCTTCCAACTCATCCCACCTCCCTTTCCCCCTTGAGGGGAAACCATAAGTTTGTTTTCTACTTCTGTGATTCTGTTTCTGCTTTGAAAATAAGTTCATCTGTACCATTTTTGTTTTAAGCACTTGGATGTACCAACTCATTTAAGCCTCCAAGCAACTCTACGACCAAGATAATACTGTCGACTTAAAACTTAGCCACAACCTAAAAGTTGAGAGTTAACGTTTTATGCAGTGGAAATTTTTAGGACTTCCAGCCTGAGAGACAGCATCTCAAGTGACCCTGAAAGAACTGCTCCGAGGAGGCAAAGGGAGGAGCCGGGTTATACAGAAGGTTTACGACAAACGTCTGGTAGTCTGAACATCAAAAGATTATTGTTAATTAAAGGAAACCAGATATCCCAAGTTAAGGAATTTAATACTTTTCTATGTATGGGAAGATGGTAAGATTCTGGGCTCACTGAAATCATTTCTTTCATATGTATCTCAGCTACCCTGGGGCCAGTATCCTGTGTTTTTTCTCATACTGAGCTCCCCTGGGGCTCACTGTATTGAGTGGCTGATGGTCCTGATGTCTGCTGCTTCACAGGTATTCTCCTCTTTCCTGAGTGCCCTTAGGACTCAGGAACTCACTCTAGAGGGCTGCAATCACTGATGATTGTGACATCCTCATTTACTGGTATGGCAGGAAATATTCCATTTCTCTATGGTTTTTCCAGTAGTCATGTATGGATGTGAGAGTTGGACCATAAAGAAAGCTGAATTGATGCTTTTGCACTGTGGTGTTGGAGAAGACTCTTGAGAGTCCCTTGGACTGCAAGGAGGTCTAACCAGTCCATCCTAAAGGAGATCAATCCTGAGTGTTCATTGGAAGGACTGATGCTGAAGCTCCAATACTTTGGCCGCCTGATGAGAAGAACGGACTCATTGGAAAAGCCCCTGATGGTGGGAAAGATGGAAGGTGGGAGGAGAGCGGGATGACAGAGAATGAGATGGTTGGATGGCATCACCGACTTGATGGACATGAATGTGAGCAAGCTCTGGGAGTTGGTGATGGGCAGGGAAGCCCGATGTGCTGCAGTGCACGGGGTCGCAAAGAGTCAGACACGACTGAGTGACTGAACTGAACTTGACTCCATTTCTCACTGCAATTGTTTTTGCTTGACGGAGGGATTCCCTGGTGGGTCAGATGGTAAAGAATCTACATGCAATACGGGAGACCAGGGTTCAATCCCTGGGTCAGGAAGATCCTCTGGACAAGGAAATGGCAACTCCTTCAGTGTTCTTGACTGGAAAATTCCATGGACAGAGGAGCCTGGTGGGGTACAGCCCACGGGGTTGCAAAGAATTAGACACAACTGAGTGACTAACATTTTCACTTTAGTGAAATTGAGGCATGGAGACACTAAGTAATTTGCAAGCTCATACAGCCAGCAAGTGGGCTTCCCTGGTAGCTCAGCTGGTAAAGAATCTGCCTGCAATGCAAGAGACCCTGGTTTGATTCCTTGGTGAGGAAGATCCCTTGGAGAGGAAGATCCCTTGGAGAAGGGATAGGCTACCCACTCCAGTATTCTTGGACTTCCCTGGTAGCTCAGACTATAAAGAACCCACCAGCAATGTGGGAGAACTGAGTTTATCCCTGGGCTGAGAAGATCCCCTGGAGGAGGGGATGCTGTCTCTAGTCCGTGGACTCGCAGTGTCAATCTCGGTCTCCCAACTCAGCCCACCTCCCTTCCCCCCTTGAGGGGAAACCATAAGTTTGTTTTCTACTTCTGTGATTCTATTTCCCCTTTGAAAATAAGTATTGTTACCACTTCAGGATTGTTGCCTGGAGAATCCCCATGGAGAGAGGAGCCTGGAGGGCTAGAGTCCATGGGGTCACAAAGAATCCGACATGACTCAGCAACGAAGAACAGCACAATCAGTGAGTCTGACTCTGGAACTCCTTGGCACTTATATTCTTAACTGCTGTCATTTACTACTTCTTGTCCAAGAGTAGGGAGCAGTTGCCCTGGTCATTTTAGCCACCCAAGCAATGCTTCAGATGTAGGTAGCTAGTTAAAAGAATTTCCAGTCTTGTCGTATCATAAGAACTCCTAGGGAGTTAGAAGCATACCCTTTTTCTGGAGATTTAGACTCAGTAGTGAAACTGAGCTGTGTCACTCAGCCCTTGTGGGCTCCTGGACATAAAAGCCTCTCTTAAAAATTTTTAAAGATTTATTCATTTTTGGCTGCACTGGGTCTTTGTTGCTGTACGCAAGCTTTCTCCAGTTGCAACATGTGGGCTATAGAGCATGCCTGCATTAGTAGGTGTGGCTCATGAGCCCAGTTGTCCTGTGGCATGTGGAATCTTCCTATGCCAGGGACTGAAACTGTGTCCCCTGCATTGGCTGGCAGATTCTTAACCATTGGACTACCAGGGAAGTCCATATAAGTCTTTCTGTGTCCCCCATTTCTTGGTTACAGGAAATAGACTTCATTCAAGCCTCCATGACCTTTGCTGAGTTCCAGTTCAGTACAGTTCAGTCAGTCAGTCGTGTCCAACTCTTTGAGACCCCATGGACTGCAGCATGCCAAGCTTTCCTGCCCATCACCAACAGTTTGAGATTACTCAAACTCATGTCCATTGAGTTGGTGATGCCATCCAACCATCTCATCCTCTGTTGTCCCCTTCTTCTCCCGCCCTCAATATTTCCCAGCATCAGGATCTTTTCAAAAGAGTCAACTCTTCGCATGAGGTGGCCAAAGTATTGGAGTTTCAGCTTCAACATCAGTCCTTCCAATGAACACCCGGGACTGATCTCCTTTAGGATGGACTGGTTGGATCTCCTTGCAGTCCAAGGGACTCTCAAG